GGACTTCAACTCCCAGAATTCCCCAGCCAGCTCTGGCTGGGGAATTCTGGGAGTTGAAGTCCACCAGGCTTAAACTTGCCAAGGTTGGAGACCTCTGATCTAGAGGACTCCATAGCCCAGGGCAGAACGAAGGGGCATCTATACGTATGATCGGGTGTCAAAATATTCAAGATGGTAGCCTTGATTACCTGATAAAAGTCTGTCTCTTGGTATATGCTTTGTCAATGAATACAGGTAGCCCTCAACATGCAATGGTAATGGAGTTTTCTGGTTATGGTCATAATGGTCATTAAATGGGTTGATCATGTGACCAATCAGATTTTATGATCTTTTATTGCAGTGGTCTATAAGCAAACCAGTGGTTTGATATGAGCATGGTTTTGTCTCATATGGTTATGGAGGGGTCATGTCATAATCTAGGTCATAAATTCCTTTTGGGGGGGGGGGGGTTAGTTGTGACTTTGAATAGTTACTAAGCAACCCATTGTAAGTCAAGGACCAAAGGGATGAGCGAACCTTCAATCAAATAGTCATGATTGACATTTTGGGAGGATACCTCTGCTTTGAGCATCTTGGTTAGACTTCCACAGTAATGGAGGACAATGTCTTGGTGTTAGTACCATTGTACCTCTGCATAAAAAAACGTAGAATTATCAACTTATATTTTGTTTCAGACAACAAAAAGTTTGGAGTTGGCCAAAATCAGACAAAAATCTATTCATTTACTTCTGTGCTCTCCTTCCATTAGTTGCTATTCAGTTTCAGAATAATTAGAAGCTGAGCAAAATAATAACAATACTAATTTCACTAACTTCAGAGTTAAATTGTGCAAGCTCCTTTTAAGCTGTTACAGCTACTGTTTTATGTTGATAGTTTGTCCTTTATTGGTCTAATGTTTTTCAAAGATTTTAAAGCAAAGTATGACATCACCCCTTACGGTTTCCTTACTAAATTGTTGTTACATGTTTCCATGCACCTAAAACATCAATATAGTAAAAAAAAAAAAAATTGCCAGTCTAGCTGTAAATAAAATGCATTGTTTACCCATTCTGCTTGCGTCAGGTTGGGTTTTTTAATATATACTTTTGATTAAAAAATTTAAAAAGGAGACTAAAAAACAACAAGGGCTAATATAAAATGAGGAAAGGAAAGAAAAAAGAAATCAAAGAAAAAGCTAAAAGTACAGAAAGAAACTATGAAACTTCTTGCTGTTTTTTAATTCTTTCTCTTTGCATCAGGCTGGTTTCAAACGTTCTTACCCAAACAGGTAGCAGGTTTAGCAAGTTTTGTGATTAATTATTATTGTTATTTTAGTCTGCTTAAGATATGGCCAACCGAAAAGCTTTGGAATGAGCTGATTCATTCACTCCTTTAGAGTTGTTGTAACTGATTGCAAATTCCATGCAGTTTTGAAATTGACACTTGGTGTTTCTGAGTTAAGAGGAAGCCAGGAAGTGAAATCTGTGTTTCTTTGCCTAGATGTAGCATATATGTCTGGCCCAAATAACCAGGGACATTTGCTGAATTCAATGCGCAGAAGTGTTTATCATTGCTACCTATACACAAGAATCTGGTCAAGGTTAAATAGTCTCTAGATAAAAGTCAACAGAAATTCACAGGGAGCTGGAATGGGAAAGATTCCAAACTGGTGACATGTTTAACCCCACCCTCAATCTCAGCCTGCTCTTCTCCTGCAATATCATTTAAATTTGTCCCTTTCTTCTTCCTAGGCAGTAGGAACGGATGTGCAATTTGGCCCTATGAGACTCCACCGAGAACAACTTCAGGTAAGCCTCTGTTAAAGATGCATCTCTTGGTTTGTCCAGGAATTGGTTACCTAAATGAAGAAATGCCTGTACATTTATTGCAGACTTCTTCAATATCAGTTTCAGCTGAAGTGTTTTCATAGCATCCTATAGTAAAAAGGAATGGAACAAAGCCTGGTAAAACGTGCCTTTTAGAGCAATATTCACAGCCCATTTCACTGAGTATTGAGCTAATAAAGAGAAATCCTGAATTAAATTGGGGCATTTGTGCAAGCGCACATATGTATCAGTTATACGTAGGTATGAATTGTGAAATTTATTGTCATTCTAGCAGGTTTAATCCAAAGTGTAAACCTAGTCAGAGTGTGTCTGTGTGTGTTTGCTCACACACATAAACACATTCTGCCTTCAGGTAGGTGTAAATGTTGAGATTTATTGACATTCCAGCAGTTCTAATCCAAATATAAGCACAGTTGGAATGCCTGGAATTGCTTAGAAGTATGAACTAAAGCTAAGATTTGCTTGGAGAATATTTGACTTAGCTGAATATTGAAATGGTCCAAAGGCATCAGTGCAGGCATAGCCTAGGTAATTTTGATGGTTATGCTGACAGTGGCCATGCCAGCAAAATATCAGAAGCTGCCTTCTGCTGGGATAAAGTACAGGCAGTCCTTGACTTACAACAGTTCATTTAGTGACTATTCAAAGTTACAACGGCACTGAAAAAACTGACTTATTACCGTTTTTCACACTTATGACCTTTGCAGTGGATGGATGGATGGATGGATGGGTAGACAGATGGATGGATATCCTGCCTTTCATGTACAAGAATTAAGATGACTTACATAGTCCTCTCTCCACTTATTTTTCCCTCTCAACATAAAGGGAGCTTTGTAGCTAAGGCAAGACTAGAACTCTAGAAGTCTAGAACAGGCCTTTCTATTTCTAGTCCAGCACCTAACTATTTCTAGTCACTACCCCAAACTGGCTCGCTCATTTATATGTTGTGATTGTTGCTCTTTTCATTTATTAAAAAGTTTTCTTTACTTTGATTTCACTTTATTTCTGTGTCTGTTTGATGGATTGTAAGGGTAGGCTATGATTTGTAGGTCTTATATGTGTTCATTTGATGAGCCATGGTGGCACAGTGGTTAGGTACTGCAGGCTAATTCACTGTTGACTTTCAGGAGTTCAATCCTGACCTGCTCAGGGTTGCCTCAGCCTTCCATCCTTCCGAGGTCGGTAAAATGAGGACCCAGATTGTTGGGGGCAAGAGGCTGACTCTGTAAACCGTTCAGAGAGGGCTAGTTTAATGAAAATCTCAGGGCTGTGTGGTGGCACAGTAGTTAGTTAGTATGCAGAATTGCAAGCTAATTCTGCCCAAAGCCTGGAGTTTGATCCTGACTGGCTCAAGATTGACTCAGCCATCCATCCTCATTCGGTAAAATGAGGACCCAGATTGTTGGGTCTGTAAACCATTTAGATACGGCTGTAAAGCACTGTGAAGCAGTATATAAGTCTAACTACTATTGCTATTATAAACATCTTAATAAGGACAGGGTCCATGAATCAATCTTGTGACCAAAGTTATGTGCAGGGGATTTCAGATTTTTTTTATACGAGTCTTTTTCCATCTCTCTCTTTCTTTCTTTCTGTGATACATACATGTATGTCCAGGCCCATTTCCCCATCTTTGTTTTCCTTTAATTAGGTACTCTTAGTGTTTGCCAAAGAAGACAACCAGAGCAATGGGTTCTGCTGGGCTTGTGAAAAAGCAGGCTACCGCTGTAGCATTGCCAGGACACCTGAATCTGCCCTTGAGTGTTTTTTGGATAAACACCATGAAATCATCATTATTGATCACAGGAATTCGAGATACTTTGATGCAGAAACGCTGTGCAGGTGCGTCCTTTTTTTTTTTTTTTTTTTTGCAATCAACCTCTTGTAATATGGGATTCACTAACCAGCCAGGTCATGATGCCCTGGGGATGTTTGATGTTTGGCATCTGGCCACTCCTGGTGCAGAGATCATTTTGTGAGAGGTTAAATCCTTCCCTGGCTCTCAGTGTTTCAGATGCGTTTACATTCCAAATAAGGTTGGAAGCATGTGAAGCCTTCCCTTTATCACCTGACTTTCATTCAAGAGATCAGTGGCATACCTAATGCTCCAGGGAGAACAATTAATCAGTGGAAAAAAGCTTGCCTCCTGGAGTTGTGGATCCTCCCTCACTGGGGTTTTTCAGAAACAGACTGGACAGTTATTTGACCGGGATGGTATAAGATCTCCTGCCTTGAGCATGGCATTGGATTAGAAGACCTTTGAGGTTTCCTCCAAGCCTATCAGTCTATGTTCTCCTTTTTCCAGTTTTCCCAGCAGCTCACCCTGTAGGTTAGGTTGGGCAACTAACTGGCTCAGTCACCCCCAAAAACTTTTGTGTCTAAGGACGGACTAGAACTTGGGTCTTCCTATCCTAGCTCAACACTTTCATGACTCACTAATTCTCAACAGTTCCTTGACCTGTCTTAATGGTTAGGAGCTGGGTATTTTTCTTCCAATTTAAACATGTACGAACCTCAGTGAAATATTCCTGTGTTGATTTCAAGCATGTTGTGGAACCCACCACAATTTCTTTACCTTCCCTTTTTTTTTTTTCAAAAGGTCCATTAGAACAACAAAACCATCTGAAAACACTGTTATTATTGGGGTCGTGCGGAGGTAAGTGTGGAAATATTATTACAGTATCCGATTAAAATATAGAGGAAGGCAAAAAGGGCAGGCTTGGAAGCATGTAACTGCAAATCAAGACCCATTCTCTCTGATTTTTACTGACATTTAGCTGACTATGTAGCTGCGGAGCCTGGCCTTTTGAATGTTAGGAATGGGGCTGGTAGGCAGAGAAGACAAAAATAGAGTGACTGAAGATACTGTAATTCAAGAAGGGATGTGCAGCTGTGGGTGGAGCCACATGTGATGGAAGAAGACCCGTGTCTTCTGAATTGGGTGTCTGCTAAAATATGAGAGTTGGGGGGAAAGGACGGTGATTTCCCCCACCTACTACAAGATGCTGTTGATTACGGCCAGGCACAAAGAACCAGAATGACACCTTGAGCTGGTCAGAGTTGCTTCTTTATTGCTGCCTGCCTATTTACAAGAATCTCACCAGACTGACTACATTCTCTTGGGAACAACAGGCAGGTAAACAAATTCAGGAATTCTCAGGTAGAGAAGGGGTACTGTGGCCTCCATCTCTTCCTTCCCTACAAGGGCTCCAAGCTCACCAGTCTTTTCACTCCTCCCCTCACTCTAACTGGAGATTCAACCATATACCTCCTCCTTGTTGTTGTTCCAATGGTGCTTTTTCAAGAGACAACGGGGCTTCCTTGTTTTTCTTCTGAAGACCTTTTGCTTCTCATCCAAGAAGCTTCTTCAGCTCTGACTGGATGGTGGGGAAATGGAAGGATTTCTATTCCTTGCAGACAGCTAGTCATTTGCATTCTTTTAGAGAGTCATTGAAGCCACTTGGAGGTTTATCTGTGACCTCCTTGTTGTTGTTTAGTCGCTGACTTGTGTCCGGCTATTTGCAACCCATGGTCCATAGCACGCTGTCCTCCAATCTTCCCCAGTTACACATTGGACACTTTTACTGATATTGGACCACTTCTGACCTTCAGGAGCTCATTTTCTGGAGTCATATCTTTTAGGCAATGATCCATGAAGGAGATATGCCTCTAGTCTCTTAAAATATTTGGTGCCCATGCAGATAGGTAAATAAAGCTATCCCCTCTAAATTGTTCTTGCACCTCTTATCTTACGTTCTCTTGAAACTTTCCTCCCTTCGTACTCAAAGCCAAGGGCCGTTGACTTCCAAGCCAATGGCACAATTTTCCATCAAAGCATCCTGTTTGCTCCAGCTGGGGATAATTCACGGTGATCTTGTTTTCATAAATAGGGACCTGTGGCATTCCTCATGTTGATTGCAGTGACTTAGCATCTGTATTTATTTTAGGATATGCACCCCCCTGAAAAAAATCTGCCATTCTTGTGAAACACAGAGCATTTGCTGCCAAGCTAAAAGTTCTTCTCCGGCCAAGTACGTTTCCAAGTTCAAATCCTGGCTGAGAGAAAAAAATATATATGTATCTGATTTTAGGGAGTAAAAAGTAGCGCTCCTGATCTTTGCTTTAATACTGTTTGGGTGTGATTATTTGAAAAGAAAATATGGAACTGTTACTGTCTCATAGCTGTGATTTAAGCAGAGAGGCTAGAAAAGTTATGAATTTAAAAGGCTGGTGCAGTAGGAGAGACCGTTTAGAATAATCGCATTGGAGTATTTGATTTTGCAAACCGGTGCTAAGCATAACAGCAGCCTGCAAAGAAGAGCAAAGCCAGAAGAAGGGAAGAGAGTCCATGGGAGGGAATAGACAGAGAAGAAGAAAAAAAGAACTTCCATTATCCCACATTCAAGGGAAAAGAAAAGAATTCTATGGACCTCTGTTCTCCTCTAAATTGAAAGTCTGTAGCCTTTCAAAAGCCATGGAATTTTAAAGTTTGAAAGACTTCCGTTTATTTACTAGTGATCTGAGACACAGCCTCTCGTCTGCAGAGGTGAATATTTAAGGGATGAACCAGGAAAATAAAATTCTCTTAACATCTTTCTGTTCTTCCTTTCCTTCCCACCAGACATGCAGATCGTGAAGAGTTCTCATTATTGCCTTTTCTTTCTGCAGGCTTCACAAGGGTAGGTCTACTTATTTATAGTTATCTTTTCCTCTCTCTTCTCTACCTCCTCCCCTCTGTATGTGTGTGTGTGTGTGTGGGGGGTATACATACATATATATACATACATACACACACTGTATACATGCATATATATATATATATACACACACACACTGTACTGTACTGTACTGTATGGCATTCAGCTTTGTTCGGGTATTTTCCCACGTCATTGTAGTTGTGCTTTTAAAGTTGTAGCAACGTTTCGGCAGAATCTCATCTGCCATCATCAGGCTTCTGTATCATATATATTCTGTATGATACAGAAGCCTGATGATGGCAGATGAGATTCTGCAGAAACATTGCTACAACTTTAAAAGCACAACTACAATGACGTGGGAAAA